GTAATCCCAATACTGCCTCGGGCGGTTTACGTTCGCGTCCGCGTAGTACCGCGCCACGTTTGGCTGCACAAACCCTAAACCCTAAACGGATTTGGGATTTGGGATTTGGGATTTGGGATTTGGGCGGAGGTTTGGGATTGGGGTTAACTGTCGTTTCAAAAGCATTAGGGTTATGACGGAGCCCGCCAAATGCAAGCGCAGGCGCATCATGGCGCGGTGCAAGCCGACGTGTTTGGGATTTGGGATTTGGGATTTGGGATTTGGGATTTGGGATTTGGGCGGAGGTTTGGGATTGCCCAATTGACAGCAAAGTTTTCGTAATCCCAATACTGCCTCGGGCGGTTTACGTTCGCGTCCGCGTAGTGCCGCGCCACGTTCGGCTGCGAAAACCCTAAACCCTAAACCCTTAACCCTAAACCCTAAACTCTAAAGCCTAAACCCTAAACCCTAAACCCTAAACCCTAAAATCTGGCTAAATGTCAAGGCCTGAGACTTTCAAGACGGGGCGGGGTAGTGGCTGCAGCTTGTGCGAGCCGGTGGATAAACCGTGCACGTGAAACTCCAACACACAAACCCTAAACCCTAAACCCTAAACCCTAAACCCTAGCGGAGGCGCAGCTGCTCCAACTTCTTGCGCCACACACTTGAAGGACACTAGCAGCAGCAAATTAGGGTTTAGGGTTTAGCTCCTGGGCTGGGGCCTGAGGCCTTCCACTCAAGACACTCTGTTGAACTACGCAGCAGGGTTTAGGGTTTAGGGTTTAGGGTTTAGGGTTTGGACTCACTGTCGCGCTTGAAGAGGCCCCAGATGGCTTCATTTTTACAGAGTCTGCTTCCCTGAGGGTTTGGGAAGATGTGAGCTGAGGAGGTGCTGCAGCTGCTGCTGCTGCTGCTGCTGCTGCTGCTGCTGTTGTCGCTGCTGCGGCAGCTTTTGCTGCTGTTGCTGCTTGTAAACCCCTGGAGAAGAGGAAAGCTGGCATGCAGAAAAACCCTAAACCCTAAACCCTAAACCCTTAACCCTCAAACAACGGGCACAGAGGGGGAACACAGGAGCGCCGTCAGCATGCGGCGGGAAGCCCTAAACCCTAAACCCTAAACCCTCGAGCCTGCGGTGACTGCAGCTGCTAAACCCTAAACCCTAAACCCTAAACCCTTCTTAACTCGCAACAAAAGACGGTTTGCTGCTGCGTACAAACCACCTGCTGCGCTCACCCCCGAGCCAAGCCCCGCACGTGGCAGCATGCGTCATCCCAAACCCTAAACCCTAAACCCTAAACCCTAAACCCTAAACCCTAATTCTTAAACGCTAAATTTAAAAAAAAGTGTTGAGGCTTATGACCCCGGTAAATGGTCGAATGCCCTCTCTTCGACTTCCACGCTCAACCCTAAACCCTAAACCCTAAACCCTGCACCCTACCCCCTAGACCCTAAACCCTAAACCCTAAACCCTCGGCAGTTTCCTGAGTGGTGTGAACTGTGGCTGAAGATTCCGCTTACACCTCCGAAAAAAACCCATTGTCAATATATTTCAGGGCTGCTGCTGCTGCTGCTGCTGCTGCTGCTGCTGCTGCTGGTGTTTCTGCTTCTGCTGATGCTGCTGCTGCTGGTTCTGCTGGTGTTGTTGCTGCTCCTCTTGCTGCTGCTACTGCTGCTGCTGCTGCTGCTTTCGTCCTCAGTGGGAGAAGCCTTCAAGAGCGCAATGCTTTGTTCCTTTGAATGTCCTGGAGCAAGGGTTTGGGACCTAGGGTTTAGGGTTTAGGGTTTAGGGTTTAGGGTTTAGGGTTTAGGGTTTAGGGTTCAGGGATTTTACAAGGAGGCTCGCTGCGGGCCCGTTGATGCGCTCTTACACCCGGTTGGCTGGCTAGCTAGCTGGCTAGCTAGCTGACCAGCTAGATAGCTGGCTAGCTAGCTAGCTGGCTAGCTAGCTAGCCAGCTAGCTAGCTAGCTGCACACCCAGCTGACTAGAAACGCAACCCGCTGCCACCTGGCAGCTCCGTGCCTGTGAGAGTACTGGCTAGCTAGCTAGCTCGCTAGCTAGCTAGCTAACTAGTTAATTGGCCAGCTAACCAGGTTACTATAAGGAGCTATAAGGAGCAATATAGCTAGCTGGCTAGCTAGCTAGCTAGCTAGCTATATTCAGAGCTAGCTAGCTCGTCCTGGGCGTCGTGGCGGTGTGTCTTCTGCTGAGGTGTACGTACACCTCAGCAGCGGGGAGCTGCGTGTACACCCGAGGTGCAGCCCTAAAGTTAATTTATTTCGATTTTATTTCTTTTTAATTAATTAATTTAATTTATTTATTTTGATTTATTTATTTAATTTATTTATTTTATTTATTTTATTTATTTGATTTATTTATTTGATTCAATTCTCTTTATTTGTTTTTCTCTCAGCTGGCTCTTCAACTCCTCCAGTAGGACTTCAGCGCTTTCGCTGTTGCAGCAAAAAATAAAAATATAAATACAAATATAAATATCAATACAAATATAAATATAAATACAAA